CAATTTCCTCACCGTTTTTGGCTACCCATGAACCGACAAACAGTCGATGGCTCTTTCTGGTAATTCCGGGGGAATCGAGAAATACATTGTAAACATTATTTAATTGCCTGAATTTTCTCCACCTTACATCGTAAATTATTTTACGATTCCTCTCGGAAACTCATTTCGACTTCCCTTGGAAGCTTCTTCAACCTTCGCTCGAATGATTCTTCCATCTTTTCCCGCGAGTTTTTTCAACTTTCCCGGAACTTCAGGGATGCTTCCAGATTTTGATTGTGGATCCACACTAGCTGCAGGAACTTTTAAGAAGTTCTGAAACTTTAGAAAAGTGCAGACTTTTGAGTAAGTTTCTATAAATTAAAGAATGTTTCAATAATTTCTGTTGAAATTCTAAAACCCGGTCCAGCGAACTCCAGTAATCTTAAGCAATACTTCATAAGCCCAAAGAATTTCTGGAAAAAATAATGGTTTTCAAGACAGTTCCATTAGTTTCAGGAGAATTGAGAGAACTTAAGGAAGCTCCGAGAACATCAGGACAGATCAATAAATTTCAATGAAATCGCTGAAATTTTAAAGGAGTTGCGAGGCAATTTTCGAAATCTTTAACAATGTTCCGAGGGGCTCATGCAAATTTAAGAAACGTAAGGGAAGTTACATAAACATAAGCACATTGTAAGAACATTTTATGGGAAGTTCCGAGCTTCTTAATGGCAACGCGAAAAAATTTAAAAATTAGAAAAATCGGGAAGATCAGAGAACTTTCATGCTTATGTTATAATAAATTTTAAGAAAATTTTGAGAGCGATTAAGAAATTTCGTAATCTTCAACAAAGTCTAGAGACCTTCAAAGTTGATTAGAGATATTCCGGTAGTTTCATTATAATCAGGGATGTTCCAAGTATTTCAAAGATGATCAGAGTACTCCAAAACAGCCCGAGGAAATATGGAATATTTTTAAGTACATTTCAGGAATGTTCCAAAAACTTCAGGGGCATTGCGGGGTCTTCACTGATGTTTTATGACTATTTGGAAAATTTTCTGAATCATTAGAACACTCCCCTCTTTCTTCCAGAATTATGTTTTTGTTTATTTCGACTGTTCCGTTAGCGCTCTGGCTTCCGACTTCCTCCAGAATTTTTTTTCCAATCTACCTTAGGAAGTTTCTTCCGTCTTCTCCAGTAAGGTTTAATTAAACTTCTCTCAGAAATTGCTTTCGTCTAGTTCTGGAATTTTGTCCAGTTGTTTAATTTTTTTTTGACTCCTATTGGAAGGTTTTTCCGAGCTCCTTCTGGCTTCCCCTGGAAATGCCTACTTTTGGAATTTATTTGCAATTTCCGAAACTTTTCTGCCATCCTTTGAATGTGAAATCCGATTTTTTTCTGAATGTTTCTTTAAATTTTCGCCAGCAGTTTCTTAATTTATGTCTTGGAAGTTTCGCGGATGATTTTCCGACTTTTCTCAGAACTTTCCTCCAGCGGAGCTTCTTTCTTCTTTCCCTAGATGTTGTTTTCAGCTTCCTCCAGAAGCCAATTCAAACATTCCCCGAGTTTTTTTTTTTTGAATTTTCCGATCATAGTTAAAAAGATAAAAATGTTCGTTTTCAAAAACGCCCAAAAGTTTAAAATTAATAAAAATAGTAAATACCAACAAATACCGGTTTTTTTTTTAACTTTTGATACCGATAAGCTTTTAAACATTCTGGCAACGCTGGCGGTGAGGCTTCTTCCTCCTTCTTCGGTGAATGAGCGCTCATGTGGGCTGCAGCTCGTTGCTTGCAGGCAGCCTTTCGTTGTGTACAATGTTCAACGTCGGGCGCCGAAAGCACTGCTGCTGCTGACGACCGATCGGACACTACCACACACGGTGATTGAATAAGCACCGATTTTGAAATCTGTGTTAGGGAAAGCGCTTTTTGCACCCAATCAGTGATAATTTTGATCACCAAATCAAAAGTTGGACATTTGTGTAATTTTCAATAGTGACCTATTGAAAATTAATAAATTGTTGGATTTAACAGATTTGTAGCAAAATTTCTAATCGATTGGCATTGTTTAAAATTAAAATCCATCTACTATTGACAGAGTTATATGTGGTCAAAACCTGACCACTTTTCATAATGCGGTCAATTTAGGTTTTTTAAATTGCACCCAATATGTTGCTGAAAGACTTAATCGTACGTCATTGGTGACTGGTGACTGTTAAAATATATTTTTATTATTAGGTTTGAAATCGTTTTTATATCATACACTAAGGTTTGATCAAAATGGCAACACTGCGCTTTTGGTCTAAAGTTCATATGTGAATTTTGGTTGAAATATATGGAGAAATAACATTATGTCAATCTTTCGTGCATATAACTGGTTCAACAAACTCGATTAAGCTCAAACATGTAGCTCAAACTATAAGGAGCAACTTTGCTTACAGTATCACAATTCAAGTTAGTATTGGAGAAATGCATTCTTGAAATTATATGGGCTTTTTGTTCGTAATTTGCAACAAAATTCAGGCAGCTTACGTAACGTATCAACTAGATTACCACTGAAAAATAGAAGTTCATACTTGCCACAGGTAAACATCCAGACTCGTGTCAGTAGGTGAGATAACCTCTCTCTGAATATTTCAACTGTTTTGACGTAACACGTACTGGCACCTTTAATATTTATATAGGGGATTTGGTTGAAATTTTCATATACAAAATGCTCATATACATTCAAAAGCGAAAATCTTAATATAACTAACCGAATTCATAATGCAGTCTTCAAGAAAGTTGTTACTCATTGTTTGAACTAAAAGTTTTAAAAATCTGAATCAAATCGAGCATAAGGAAACTTTTTTTTATGATCGATAGAGTGTAGGAGTGTCATTTTTGCATGTATTTTATCCAAAATCCCCATATAAAATTCAAACTAAAAGCGCCAGCTCATCCTACAACCAAATGAGCTAAAACTATAAGAGAATGGTTTTCTCACCTAAAGGCACAAATATAGAGGTTGGCCCGTGGAAAATAAGAACTTTTATTTTTGTGGGCCAGTCTAATACGTTATTATATGAAGCTTTTAGGAAGTGTGTCCATTGGAAGTATGGCAACCAGGGTTGCTTCCACTCACTTGCTATAAAAAGATGATTTTCTGAATTTTGAAGTCATTACATGTTATAATGATATTTTGTCCTTGTTAGATACAGGAAGAAACGGCGCCGGTGGTGTAGTGGTAAGCGTGATTACCTCTCACCCCAGCAGGCCTGGGTTCAATACCAGTCGGCGCCGCCGGGATGTTCTGATTCATAACATCTCTGATCACGCCTTCCTTCGGATGGGAAGTAAAGCCGTTGGTCCCCGGTTCATGAGCTGTGATGGGTCGATAGGTAGGGTACAGGTGTGGGAGCTGCCTTCCTGGCACGTCGGTAGCATTGGTGCTCAGCACGGAAAACAAGATCGACGGAAAAAACAAACAAAAGGAAAAAAAAAAGATACAGGAAGAGGTTGAAAGGCAAGTGTTTGACACATACTACCTGTCAATTTCGATTCCAGAGTGTTACAATCGGCGATTTTATGATTCGTGAGCGTTCACTCAGAGTGAGCGTTCGCGAGTCGTAAAATCGCTGATTGTGACTATCTGAAAGCGAATTTGACAGGTTTTATATGTCAAATACTTGCCTTTCAGCCTCTTCTTGTGTCTGACAATGACAAAATATCATTATAACATGTAATGACTTCAAAATTCAGAATTTTTTTTAATAGCAAGTGAGTGGAAGCAAGCTTGATGGCAAAAAAGCACAAACTATAACCAATAATTTCAACAGAAAAAAAAAACATATTTTAGGAAATAATATAGCAAGTTTCGTCATACATGATAGGTCTACAGTGAATTTAAAAAAAAATGTGTTAAATGTCAGTTAATATTATCTTATTTTTTTGTAAACTGAAATCATGGGGATATGATTTCTAAACAATAAACAACCTTTAAATCGTGATTATCTTGTTCATTGTTGGTATACTTCTCTGTATCATATGGGGTTTCTTAGTTTTATATACTGATGACCTCGATTGTCAAAATCAGATTTGATTACGTACCTGAAAATGAAGAAATGAAAATGGATTAGAACTGTGTTCAAGTTTGTAAAATTATAGTTATATATGTTCAAATATGTGATATGAAGCACGGGAAACTTATTGAAAATTGCACTCAAATCTTATGTTTTAGTTACGTTACGTTAACTCATCCTTATGGGTGCTGCATTTCAATCAAATCTAAGTCCATATTTACCATAATTTATCAGTTCGTAAACAACCTTTACGATGCGATGTATGAAAAGTTATGACACCTCATTTCGAGTGCAAACATAGTGAAAACCCCATTATTGCTACCTTGGGCAAACTGCCAGGCGGTGTGAAATGGGAATTTCCCAAGCATTGGCCTTCGCTTCTCAGCACTGTGTTAACCACATTTTGAGGAAGTGCGCTCAGCTCACGAAAGTAATTCAATCACACCACCAAAGCCTGTTTCGTTTGTGTCGTCAAAACACTTTCCGACAGTTTTTTTTCCTCCCTACATCCCAGCGAAAATACCTCTCCTGCGACGCGACCGACGGCGTTTACGATCATTTGTTTCCCTATAGAAACCAACACGCAAAAACTGAGTGGGGGAGTGCACAAGTTATGAATGAATGAAGACATTAAACCGTAAGGCGGTCGGTCGGTGGTGATGTCGTTTTGTCTCACGTTCCAACATGGTCGATGGTGATGACGAGACCACCATCAATTTCGCAATCGAACAACACTCTGTGCTTCGTTCTGACTGACCATTCGACAGAACCCATTAGATGGATGATATAGTGGTTTCTATTCAAGCTGGCCAGCAAGCGCGCTACGAACGAGTGCTGCATTGTTAAGGAAGTTTTGCAATAAACTGTTAATGGTAGTGCAACCTTGGGGATTGGAAAATGAACGCTGTGGGTTTTCCGAGGGAAAACAAAGCATTAATAGGATTGCTTTTATTTACCTTTTTCTATAGATCCACGTGTTGACAACATCCGGTTTGTTGGTTCGCTTCAGAACTCCCCTGAAGGATGAAGATTTCTTGCGGAGAAAATTTCCACTCGTGGGTTGCGATACACCCCCGTTGATTACAGAACTGCCCATGGGAGGTTTTCTATTAGCTGCACGTTCTCTGCTTTGGAGAAGTTGATAATGATTTGCCAACAGTGACTGCATTCTTGAACCAGATGACAGTGATGAAGATGATGTCAGCGAACCAGACGATGGGGAGCCATTGCTGCTGGACGAAACTACAATGGCCGACAGACGGGACAGATTGTCACTGGCACTTTCAAAGATATTTTCAAAATTTTTACTCGATAGCATCAGGTGACTCAAGGAGTCCAAATCTCCGGTACTCCAGCTGTGGGGCGTGTGCTGGAGATGCTGAAGGAAGTGTTCGCTTTTCCAGTTCGAACGGGAGGCGAGGTTTGGTTCGCTGGAGGTTCGATTAGCGCCGAGATGTGGGACGGCAGTGGACGGAATTTCAGGGTCATATCGTTGCATCTTTTTAAGATATTCAAATTTGAGCTTATTGTGACTCGTGGGTTTTGCATCGGATAGAGAGCTTTCCTCAGAGGAGGGGTACCCTGGTGGGGGTCGGAAGTGGCACTCGTGTCGCCGGCGACGACGAACTGATAGATTTAGACTTCTTCTCTGAAGAAGGAACCGTTGAAAGAGATTCGAGCGGGCCTTTTTAGCGCGATCGCCACTCCCAGACCCTGCGGGTGGTGGCGGACGTGCGCTAACGACTAGTTTCTTCTGCTGAGCAGCATGATTATTATTGTTTATACTTTTGGTTTCACAACACGCGACTGATTCGTCGCGCGTCGTTTCAGTTTTCAACACGGCCGATGGCGGTCCGTTCACGGCAGTTGTTAAATTAGACGATGACAGTGGGATCCTAGTGTTGTTGCTGTTATTGCCAGTTAATGATGCGTTTGTGGTGCTCGGCGTGGTCACAGTCTTGGAAGCACTACCTCCGATTTGGGTAGTTATTTTTAGTTTTCCCTCGTCACGCTTTCGAGCTTGCTCCCTAAATTGGCGGTTCACTAGTTCACTATTAATATCGTACCTCATTAGCACTGGATAGAACTCAGAGTTGTCAACGATGATGATCGATTTGTTGGTGGAATCCACGTGGCAGTCGGATTCCGATTCTCGGGACTCATTTCGCAAGAGGGCATCGTCCGTACTGAGCGGTCGTTTCAACAGCATCGGCTCCAAGCCTTGTGAGTCAACTACCAGCACGGCTTTGCTGTCTCCTTTGTAAGCCGAAGTATCACTGGAGAACGTTTTATTTTCGCCAAATGTTCTCTGACTAAAATAGAAATCGTGGAAATCTTTTGCTTCCGCGTTACACTCATCCCACTGCAACTCCCGTCCTCTTTTGTAGATTTCCTCCTCCAGCTTCCGAATCAAGTTTATATCAAGTTGTGCACTCCGTCCAGACGGTTCGATGCCATTTGGATCGGTGCTATTACCATGATTGACAGCATAATTAGTGCTATGTCGAACACCTCTACCTCCATTTCTGTTGCTGATATCTTTACTACCCCCGAGTTGTATCGAGCCCTGGCTGAGTGATTTCTTGAAGAAGCCGGAGAAACTCAGCGGCCTTGACCAGAGCTTATTGCGGCCACATTTTATGCGATTCTTGTCCAGATCGATCACTTTATTTCGCATAACGACACTTTCTTTTGTCTGCTGCACTAACGCAGCTGTTGCTGCTGGTGCTGGTGGCTGCCGGTTGACATCATCGATAAATGGTGACGCGTGCCGTCGACCTCCGTCTGAGCGTTCGTCTGGCAGTACCACCATTCGCCGGTTCAGGCGCTGCTGATACCTATCGCCGTTCAGTGCCATTTGATTGCTAAACAGAATACCACTGGTGTTGCTTCTAGCGTCGCCACCACTAACACTGCTGCTTATCATCTTCACTGATTATTTTTCTTTTTGGTGAGATTTTACGTTACGTTCGCATATATTCACTTGGTATTTTTTTTACGGCTAATATGTGAAGGATATAAGTCGTATGAACCTGATTGGATTTTGAAAAACTGAGCAAAACTTGATGCAAAACTTTAATGAGAATTAATAATTACACTCGATATTAACTTTCTCTGTGAAATCTTCAGCGTACAATAAATTTATGGAATGTGAAAGATTGATTGAATTTTTGGGCACCTGTAGATTATTATAACGTGACTTAAGTCTTCTTAGGTACACGCATATCAAATTTATCTTACATCCAATTTGGATTTATTACATCCTCTGCATACGTTTCATGCAACAAATGTTATGGCAGTTCTTGCAATGGACTGCAACGTACAAGCAAGTTTTTTTTTTAATAATAATGTATATTTTTGTATAAAACCTTCATATTTGTGTATAAAACGCCAAGACCACCGGTATAAAAATGAAACTACAACGTGTAGAATCGGAACCTACCTAACTAATAACCAAAGATTTAAGTAAAGCAAAGGAGAAAAGTCTACATAACTCTTTAATAAGGAAAATCCAAAAGGCTTGGTAGCCATCATAATGAAGTAATGAAATTGGGTTGTTAGCGGAATGCTTAAATAAAACAGCAAAAAAGGTTATCTTCCATTTAATTCCACTTAAGTAATTTTGGTAAAGCTCGATTCAAAGTAAATCTGGACGCACGGTTTAATACACCACCGCGCCCCTGGTGGTTGGAACAAAAAACTGTTGACAGGCATTTGTTGATGTTTCATTGACGAAGAAATTTGTGAAAAGTTTTACTCGATTGATCGACGCATCCCGAAATTACGGATCATGGAACTTGAGAAAAGAAAATCAATTGTGCACAAACATCTAGAGAACCCTTCGTGGTCTGCTTAAAAAAAAGTGTTAAAATTCCCAAAGTCAACGGTTAGTCTTGTAATCAAACGTTACAAGGATACTCTGAGTGTGGATAGAGCACAGCGCATCTATCATAAAAGTGGCACTAGGGACAAAGAGCTGAGGAGAAAGGTGTTGAGGTACGTGAAAAGCAACCCAGGTGTCTCCATACGTGATTTGGCAAAGAAATACGATTCAAACTTTTCCACCGTGCGTAATATCATAGAGGTAACTCTAAGACCACTGGGTCCCGAAGAAAATCATTATTATTTTTGGCTCACTCAGTACCAGAACAACGGTCCCAAGCAGTCCCAAGCTATTTCACTCACCCCTGCATGTGCTGCATGAATCCACACACCCCTGATGTTATCTGTCAAACTTTCATAGCGAATCAAAACAAACATAGTGTAGTAATAGAATTTCAACTAGAATAGGGTACGTTAATCGTTTGTTTGGGACCAATAGGCTACTAAAGTGGTGAGCCAATTTAAAATCGTTAGTTTCGTATTGATTGTTGGTAATATCCTTTCAAGAGAAGGATATAAGTCTTTTTGTGTCAGTAAACATCCGAATCGCTCCCTGAAACAAAATGTAGTGGTCAAAAAGCGAGCACGATTACTATTCGAACGAGTGTTGACGAAATTTGATGGCTGTATTTTAATGGATGACGAAACATATGTCAAAATGTATTATAAACAAATCCCTTGACGAAAATTATGCCTTGAAACTGGTCGTGGGGATGTCCCTTCCAGGTATAAATTTGTTTTTGCTGATAAGTTTGCTCGGAAGCTAATGATTTGGCAAGGAATCTGCAGTTTTGGCCTTAAAACCACGGATTTTACCCTTCATTCGGCAACACAAGACCAACGGTATGTTTTGGCCGGATCTAGCCAGCTGCCACTACTCTAAGGAGGTACTAGAATGGTATGCTGCTAACAATGTTAATTTCGTCGCCGAAGAGAATAATCCTCCGAATTGCCCTGAGTTCAGACCGATCGAAAAATATTGGGCAATTGTCAAGCGAAAACTTCGAGGATGCGGTAAAGAAGTGACAAATGCACAACAAATGCGTTTAAAGTGGAATAAGTTCACCGGTACAGTGTCACCAGCGACTGTGCAGATGATGATGGCATCGATCACAAGTAAAGTGCGACAGTTCGTTCGAAACGGTGAAATGTAATAACTTGTTATATCTCGTTTGAAAGCTGAATAAATACCCTTTTGTTTTACGTTTTGATCAACCGTGTATGTTGTTTAACTCTTGAGTTATGATCACTTGAATGCGTCCAAATTTACTTTGAATCGGGCTTTATCCATGACAGATACGTATTTCGACTGCAATGCACAGTCTTTATCAGTATCAGTAATTGACTTTATGAACAGTTTTAAGAGGCACTTTTGCTCCCTTTCAAGTTTTCGTTTTTAAGCTTTTATAAAACATGAGAATAGTTTTGAAAAAGTTTTATAACATTCTTCTACAAGTTTAATTTATCTTGAGAATCCTGGCATAAAACTCTTGAGAAAGATTTTTCTCAAATTCATAAACAAACTGTTATAATGGACGCCAACAGAATAAATTGAAAAATAGTGGATCTTACAAATGAAAATTAAGAAAAACCTATCCGATATATTGAACACTCCTTCATCTCAACAAGCGTCGACTTCAAAACAAGATGTACAGATGCGAACTAGTGCTACACAATGTCACAAGGAAACACGTCCACAAAAAATTCCCCCAATACCGCGGAAAAATAAGCGAAGAAACAAGATGGCAACGCAACATGCCAGCCTAAGATACCCAATGTAGAGTGGACATTTTCGGAAGGTATGGCAGTCTAACCCGCCACTTTCGGAAGACTTGACCATAAATAAACAGCTGTCAATTGGCAAACTCGACGACGTGCTTTTTCGAGCCTACTGCGACTTACTTATCAAAATGAGATCAGGTTTGAACGAACTCGCAAATAATACAATTTATACCGGATACTGTTTAATCTAGCCTGTTTGTATATAATATTTTGTAAAAGTAGTGGAAATGGATGTGATATCGGCCTTAATGCCCATAATTTGAGGCCCATACAAAAATTTAGCAATCGACTAAATTTTCAATAGTGACCAAAAATATCAATTAGTATCATCCCAATGACGCGTTCATCTAGATAAAATTGATAAATAGCAGATTTTTAGCGATGGGCCCAATCTTAGATCCATAGGCCAACATTACACAACAAATTTAAGTTTTCAATATCAGTAAAACAGATTGCTGGATCATGATCAGCAATCAAATGCTTTACTGAAAAACAGCAAACGATATTTTTACCGAGAAATTCAGCTAACATAAGCGATTGCTGGCCACCCAGTTAAGACCTGTCAAACTGATAGCATCACAGTCGCAAGTATTTTGCATTCGTACAAATCCGTCCACACCACAGGAGGTAAAAAAAACTACAAATTATGTAGGTAAGGACACTGGCTCGGACACTGATTATATTTAATAAATTATACATGGAAAATAGCCTGGCGATTTTGTCTTTATTATTTGTATATTTGTATCAACGATCTTTTACATAAGCTAGAAGTCCCTAGTGAAAACAATTTCGATTTACTGAGTTTAACAGTTTAATAGCAAAATGCTGCTAAATGTCAAATATCTTTATTGCATGAAAATCAGTAAAGAAATATAGCTGAAGTATTTGCTGATTTTTAGTAAAATATTTTCGTTTTGACAGAAGTTGGAATTGTTGGAAAATTCAGCAGCAATATTTTGCTGGAAAGTTTGCTGATCTTTCATCAAGTCTTAAATCAGCAAAATTTTGTAATTAATTATCATTGTTACAAAACGGTCTAAAGGGCGAACACGAAATTATTGCGACCCATTCAACAAGGCATAACTTTTTTACCATTGGGTAAAAATCAACCAAATTTTGCACACTTTCTCATTGATGTGTATTGTGTACATGCTGTCAAACTCGAAGTCGTGTTTTTCGATTCAACGAAAATGGAGGTGAACCAACGCGAGTTGAGAGAACAAATTCTTTCCAAACACCTGGAATTTCCTGACCTGTCGCACCGGCAGTTGGGAAAAATGTTGAACATTCACCATTCCAGAGTGTTGAAGCGGTTTCAGGAGCGGTTGACGTTGGACCACGGCAAAAGAGCTGGAAGAAAACCGGGACCGGAGAACAAAAAGACGGAGGGAAAGGTGAAGCGGATGATTAAAGCAAATCCCAACGTCTCAAGCCGTGATTTGGCTAAAAAGATCGGCATGTCGCAGAGCTACGTCCAGAATGCAAAGAAGTGAGCTGGACTACATACATACAAGGTACAGAACTTCCCAAACCGCGATGAGCGGCAACAATCGACGGCTAAAACTCGGGCACGGAAGCTCTACGAGAAGATGCTGACAAAATATGGCTGCTGTGTGATGGACGACGAAACGTATATAAAAGCCGATTTTAAGCAAATTCCGGGGTTGGAGTTTTTCACCGGCAAGAGCAAGTTCGATGTGGACGACAAATTTAAGAAGAAGAAAATGTCGAAGTTCGCCTCCAAATATCTCATTTGGCAGGCCATCTGCTCTTGCGGACGGAGGAGTGAGCCTTTCGTGACAAAGGGCACAGTAAATGGCGAGATCTACAAATCTGAGTGCCTCGAGAAGCGCCTTTTGTCGTTCTTGCAGCAGCACGACGAAGCTCCGCTATTTTGGCCAGATTTGACATCATGCCACTATTCTAAAAGTGTCCTGGAGTGGTATGAGTCCAATTCTGTCCATTTTGTTCCAAAGGACATGAATCCGCCAAACTGTCCGAAGCTGCGCCCGGTGGAGCAGTACTGGGCAATAATGAAGCGGGAACTTCGGAAGAGCAAGAAGACAGTCAAAGACGAGAAGGACATGTTAAGAAAATGGAAAAAAAAAACTGAGAAACTGGTACCGGATAACACTGTAAAGACTTTGATGGAGGGCATCAAGCAAAAATGCGTTCAATTTTACACTCAAGGCTCCATCGATTAACTTTTCTTTTGATTTTTGAAGTAAATATATGTATAAAACTACCCTAGAATTTTGGTTTGATTCTAAACATTATAAGAAAATTGGCATGACATTTTTGGT